ATAGTGCCGGTGAATTTTGAAAGTTGTATTGGATATAATGCATAAATTGTTTCTACCTATAACTTCGAATCACAGAGAAATTTGCGATATGTTTATTTTTGTCAAATTTAATATTATGAGAGTAAAAATAATTCAATGATAGGGAAATACTATTAATGTTTACAAATTCATATTTGAAGTTAATTTGCTGTTTCTCATGACCATTTATTAAATTTAAGTTTTAAGAAAAACTTTAAATTCAGTTTTCTCAAAAAAAGTTTTTTTGCAGTTCGTGTGTTTTGAAAATGCTCCATGCGTTTCATTTTTAGTTAAAATTGAATGATATTTGGAAGAAACTATTTTCTTATATGTTACAATAGATTTTTATGTGCATTTTTGGATATTAGGTTATTAAGAAATTTAAACTTGTGATATAATGTTTAACAAAAAGTGAAATTTTTTTGAAAATTGGGTTTAAATTCTCGAAAATATTTTTTTTTTTAAAATTACTGATCCATCATATTCAATAACGGATACACATAACCTTTTGTCAAGTCTTTATAAGAATGATTCTTTAAATTTTAAAATAATGTACCTATTTCCTTTTACCAAGCGTTAAAATAATAAGACGACCAAAAAAATAATGAAGAAAAGACAAAGAATGCATAACCTGCTGTTTTTTCTTTGACAATGTTTTCTTTATCTATGAAGAATATCAATAAAGAACTCTATTATGGTAGAAAACACTCTTAGCTAAGATACGGTGGGGTGCTTCTTATCGTCATTAAGCGTTTCATTAATGATAATGAGCTACTTAATGATAAAGTACACACTTTAGTGATCCTGAAAAGGAAGTGGAAGAGCAAAATCTGCCTGTCTTAAGCTGGCATGCATTATTATGCAAGAAAACAGGACTTACATGCTCTCTTTATACTATCAAAAGAAGCATTTACATATCCATTTATGGATATTTAAGAATCAGAGCATATCCTAAACATTAAATTATTCTACGAAACGCTCCGATTTTTTACTCCTTCCATTCAATTCCGAAGTGCCTTTCTACATTTTAGATTAAACGGTTTTATAGTTTACTAGATGTACCCGCCCGGCGTTGCCCGTGCATTTAGAAAATGCAGATAAGTGAATAGCGCAGGAATAGTAGTGTAGGACATGTAGACTGTCTCTCTCTCTTCCCCCCCCCACAAGCTACAAAAAAGAAATGAATTGTAATTAATCGATTTAATGTATCGTCAAAACAGCAAACTAACGCTAGAATAAAGAAATCAATTGTTACAATCGAACGTTATTTGAAAACAAATAATAATATCACTGAGTCAAAAAAACCGTGATTAATTAATTATAAATAATTTTTTTAAAATTTTTCTAATTCAAAAATCGAAAATCGGGCTTCGAGGTCTGGTGGCCAGCCCCTTTGTGCTTCCGTATAAAAAATTCCAGGTCCCTGCGTGCGATAGATTTGGCTGGAGAGCTCGGTCAGACAGACAGACAGACACATTACACTTGCTTTTATTATTATAGATAGACTAGTCGTAATTTGAATAATTAAATTTTTCCTTGCACATGAGGTTTTCATGTGCAAGGAAAAATTTAATTATTCAACCATAACTTATCATTCTTCTACTCCCGAGGCATACATTTAATTTTTCTTCTGCGTAAATTAGCGACAAGACTTCTCCAAGCGTTGAATTAGTTTTCTAAAAACTTCCTACGTTTATCAAAATCAGATAATGTTAGTTCACGGATTAAATTTTAACTCTCATTATCCTTGTGTTTTTGATCAATCACTTTCAAGATTATTTTCTCATTTTTCACTAAACAATTTTTAACACTGAAAGTAATAATACTTAATAAGCGTTAAGTATCATTACTTTCAGTGTTAAAAATTGTTTCTATTTTCACTATTTGAAGGATACATAAATTCCAATCTACAAAATCGTATTAGGAATGGGAAGTAAGAAAAAATAAAAACGAAAGGTAAAATAAAACGTTATTTTATTTTAAAAGAACTTGAAATGTTGTAAAAGTAAATGTAAAAACTGCCTTACAAGCATTTACTAATAGTAGTGGAAATGCATATAAATTTGAGATGGAAAAACTGTAAATAAAAATTAAATAGAAAATTCCCGAAAAATGAATATTTGAGGAGGTAGCGAAATAATACTGATTCTTCAGGGAAAATCAGCTTATTTCACATTCTTCCCCAATTGCTCAGCCATCGTGTTATGCATATTTTTTTGATATATTGCTTGAATTTGGGTTTTACTGAGTAAGATCCCGTTAAGGATTGACACAGTTATTTCGCAACATTAGCCAAAGCACTTTTTTTCTACTTCTGGATAGTGAATTTTTTGTATGACTTATGCTGATAAAACTTCATTCTTTATGGACAAAATAAACTGTTTTTTTTTGCACATTAAAAAATTTTATAAAAATAAATTATCATTTGGGTATATTTTTCCTTTGAGTAGATCTCATAGAGGACACAACGAATCAAATAATTTTATGAAGACACGCCAAGAGTACGCATAAATACGCATTTTTTTAAAGTGTCTTGAAAACGGGATGTCGCCTCAAAGCAAAACCTTTGTCAATGTACGCAGATTTTCATAGATAGCGGTTGTCCCAAAATAAAGAAAATCCAGTGCCATGGTTTTTAATGTTGAAGGAAGCATTATAATTTATGAAGAAGTTAGATGAATGTGGTATTTTAGAGCTCTCTTCAAATGATGACGTAATGTAGGGGACAATTTTCCAATGCTGAAAGATGCATCCAGTGAGATGGATTTTTTTTCCTTCACCGCTGTTCTACATATTATGAATTGTAATTAAAATGATTTGTGCAAAGGTGTCTGCTAATGCAAACTGAATTACCCAGGGCAGGCGGCGAGGACGCCCCTTTGCTTACTGCCTCACGGGGTTCCCTCCTTCTACTTGCTTAATTGCTTAAAGTAGAGTGCAATGAAGGAAACCACTGGCAGTACATTTCTTAAGAGCCACCGCTAGCTCAATCAATAAAGGTGATTTAAATAACAAAATGTTAATTCGCATGTCAAAGATCTGTTTGTGCACAACAATTCTTGTGTAGATCTTTCCATCAGCTTGCCTTGCAGAGGACCATCCAGTCCGTTCTTTCACGAACTCTTGAACAGGCAACATAAAGTTGACCGTGTCTAAATGCAGGCTCAGATAAAAAATGCCAACACGCTTAAGTGTTTCGCCCTGAGACATACTGATGGCCATAGCAAAGGCAAGTTTTACAGAAAATTGTCTACTTCTCAATTAAAACGGCAACCCTGTGCCGTGGCAACTTCACCCCATTGGCTAGTACAGTTACGCAAGCAACCAATAAACTATCGGCGACAAACAGACACTTAAGCCGCATCTATATATTGGGTGAAGTAACATCATCTCCTCCGAAATGGCTGTGTCGCGAGCAACTCAACGATTGTATAAATGCAATTTCTTAAAAGATTAAGTTTTTATAGTTTGGCAACATTGTATTTTTTTTTTTTTTTTAATGTTTAGAATAAATGAAGTAAAAATTCACCATGGCTTTGCATTAAGGTGGATTGCCTGTTTTAAGTGAACTAATTGGGTGGATTGCCCATATTACTTGATTATAAGTTTCTTTTAATGGATTACCGACTGAATGAACAAAATTCAGGTAGAGTCTCGTAACATGGTGACCGTATGACGTGATATTAAAGGTACGTTTTTTTGAATTACCCATTATTCTGAAAATGGAATTACTTGTTAAAAAACGTTCTCCTATGAGAGCTAACTTCGCAAAATGTTTTAATGGTTTGAATGACTTATTAAAGGCAGATAATGTTAAAGAAGAGAGCATTAGATCTAACTTTGCTAATTTACGTAGAATTTATTGTCAGCTAACTGAAATAGATCAGGAAATAAGCTCTTTATTATTACAAGATACAGACGATAAAAAGAATCAGAACGAGTACGCGATAATAGAAGAATATAATGAAAATTCGTAAAAACGGAAGTAAACGTAGAAATGTATTTAAATTGAATTTCTAAAACCGAAAGTTTTGTTGATTCTTTGCCCATTCAAAAACGAAAGTTAAAGTTACCGAAGATCGAACTTTTGAAATTTGACGGGGAAATTAAACATTGGCTTGCCTTTTGGAGCCAATTCAAAAGAATACATGACGATGAAAATATTGCGAAAAAAGATAAATTTCAATATTTAATTCAATGTATGACTGAAGGCTCTAGAGCTCGCGATATTGTTGATAGTTACCCACCGACATGTGAAAATTATGATAAAGTTATTGCATGTTTAAAATCAAGATTCGGCAGGGAGGAAGTACTAATTGAATTTTATATACGCGAACTTTTAAATCTTGTTGTAAAAAATTTTACCGAAGAAAGAGAAAAGTTAGACACGTCGAAATTATATGATAAATTAGAATCACATCTAAGAGCCTTGGAGTCCATAGGCTAAACATCCGATACATATTCAGCTATACTTTTCCCTCTTGTAGAATCGTGTATTCCGGAAGACATTTTTAGAGTTTGGTTAAGAAACCCTATAGTTAACACCAAATTCAATTCTTCTGAAGAAAATGCTTATGGGGAGAAATTAAAAAATTTATTATTGTTCCTGAAAGCTGAAGTTGAAGGGGAAGAACGTATTCGTTTAGCAAAGGGATTTGTTAGTAAGGAACACAAATTTCAGAAGGAAAAAATACAGCGTTCTGTTCCTAGTAATCCACAGACGGCAGCAGATTTGTTTGCGGGAACAACAGAGAATAAAAGAAAAAATGTTTGTCTATTTTGTGATAAATTACACGAAAGTAAAGATTGCTTTTCTGCACGTAAACTCAAGCTTCAAGAAAAACAAGAAATTTTAAAAAACAAAAAGGTCTGTTTTGTCTGTTTAAAAATTGGACATCGTTCTAAATTTTGCAAGTCCAACATCAAATGTGTCATTTGCAGTAAAAACCATTTTGATGTGCCCAGAACTCCCTGGAAATAAGATGAAAGGTGATGTACAGGAACTTGAGAAGACTTTGTCGTCTCATGTTAGTTCGTCTAACTTATGCACTTCTGATGAAATATTGCTTCAAACGTTACAAGTGAAACTGAAGACTAAAGGGAAAGAGCTACAAGTACGTGTACTTATTGACACTGGCTCACTGTCTTATTGACACTGGCTCACAACATTCTTACATTCTTAAAGAAACAGCTAAGAAACTAGGTTTGAAGCCTACAGAAAAGAGAATCTTAATTCACTCTCTATTTGGGGGAATTACAACTGAGAAAAGAGGAGCATTATGTTTATGACGTTAACCTGATATCTTTGAAAGGGGACTTCTCCTGTAACATAAAGGTTCTGGATCAGCAGATCATTTGTGGCAACATTCCTCGTTTGAGAAGAGACCTTTATAAGGAAAAGTTAAGAGAAAATAAAATTTGGCTCACCAGCTATGGAGAAGGTTGTCCTGATATTGATCTGTTAATAGGTGCAGATTATTGTGGTAATATATTTACAGGAAGAATATGTATATTGAAATCCAATTTGATTGCATGCGAAACTTATTTAGGATGGGTTATCATGGGAAACATGTCCGAAGAAAGGTTTGACGAAACTTCATCCCACTTAGTGACATCTTTACTGATTAAAAATTCTTCTGTGGCTGATTTGTGGAAATTAGATATTATAGGTGTAAAGGATCCTACTGAAACAAGAACTAAAGAAGAAACGGAACCTCCATTCTTCAGCATTTTCGAAAAACCGTTCAGAGAGATGAAAATGGCCGTTACATCGTCAAACTTCCTTGGTTAGAAACGTACGAGACGTTAAGTGAAAACAAAGATATAGCTGAAAAAAGATGCATAACTACTACTCAGAAACGTCTTAAAGAAGGAAAATACAATGATTATGAAGCTGTATTTAAGGAATGGTTACAGGAAACTATCATCGAAGAAGTACCAGATAGTGAATTGGGAAATCTTTGTCATTATTTGCCTCATAGAGGTATTTTTAAAGGAAATTCTACTACGAAGGTACGCCCTGTATTTGATGCTTCGTGTAGAAGTAAGAACACACTTTCACTCAACGACTATCTAGAAACAGGACCAAATCTTATCGAAAAAATTCCTCCATTACTCATGAGATTTCGTCAGAAAGAAATTGGTGTAGTTTCGGATATAAAAAAGGCCTTCTTACAGATATCTGTGGCCAAAGAAGACCAAGATTTTCTTAGATTCATATGGTGGGAAGATTATAAGGAAAGAAAACAAAAAATTTATCGTCACCGACGAGTAGTGTTTGGACTTACGAGCAGCCCTTTCTTGCTAGCTGCCGTTCCAGATTACCATTTGGAGACAAAATGAAAGCCATTTTCCTGAAACCGTAGAAAAGCTGAGGAATGCATTCTATGTGGATAACTGCATAACTTCGGTAACTAGTCAAGATGAACTTAAAAAATTCATTTTTGAAGCAAAACAGATTCTGGCTACAGGTTGTTTCGATTTAAGCCGATCTGTTGTATTAAAACAGATTCGGCTACAGATTCCAGTCTAACAGGTGAAGAATGTCAAAAAAAAAAAAAAAAAAAAAAAAACTTGTCCCTGTTCTTGGATTATTATGGGATAAAACTAAAGATGTTCTGTTTTGTGATCTTGAAAAAATTGATTTCAAGCAAAAACCCATTACTAGAAGATGTATTCTTTCGACAGTTCACAGCATATTCGATCCTATAGGAATTCTGTGTCCAGTAACGATTCGTTTGAAACTGTTAATACAGAATAGCTGGAACCTGAAGATTGGTTGGGATGAAACCTGTTCCAGAAGATATTCGCTTGGAGTTCAATAAATGGCTTGAAAATTTACTTCTGTTGACAGAGATCAAAATTCCAAGATATGTCTAAAGCAATGTCCTGGAAGAAAAATTGAGTTTTCATACTTTTTATTGTGAAATGAACTGAATTAATAACTGGCGCGCAGCGCTGCTGTTCGTACGAAGCGAATGTGAGAAAGGGTGCTAAAAGTTCATTTGATTGAAGCTAAAAGTAGAGTGGCTCCTTTAGACAGAACGATAAGCTGATGCCTCGGATTAGAATTGTTAGCATGTTTGATCGGAGCTCGACTCACTGGAACAGTGAAAGAAGCGATGGATTTAAAGGGAATATCAAGTACCTGTTGGGCTGACTCCTCTACCGTTATGTTCTGGATCAAGCATGAAAATAACTTGGGAACCTTTGTACATAATCGAGTGAAGGAGATAAGAAATTTAACATCAAAGAAACAATGTAAGCATATTCCAGGAAGCGACAATCCGGCTGATCTCCCATCCAGAGGATGTTCCGCTGGAGTTCTACTCAGATACAGATGGTGGGAGGGTCTACCATGGCTTAAGCAGCCTGAAGAAAATTGGCCCGTCTCTGAAGTTAAATTAAATATGGAAGACATTTCTAAAGAAAGAAAAAGGGAATAACTGTCTTAGCTGCCTCAGTTGCTCCTAACGAAAAATGGTACATGCATCGTTTTTCTAAATATTCGAGAATCATTCGGCTGATAGCTTGGATTCTGTGATTCTTTCATAATTCTAGAAATTCCGATCACAAACTGAAGGAAGAGTTATCTGTTCGGGAAATAGAAGCAGCTGAGAAAAGGCTTTTCTTAATTGTTCACATAGAATCTTTCCAAAACGAATCTACAAAATCAAAGTTGAAAACTCTTTGCATTTTCACTGATAAAGAAGGCTTAATGAGACAGAAGACAAAAATCCTTCGAAGAGATGATGCAGATTATTTCGTGTGTCCCATACTTTTACTTTCTGATTATCAAATTGTAGAAAAGTTAATTTTCGAAAGACATACAGTACTTTCACACGCTGGAGTTAAAATTGTTTTGACGGATATTCGTCAACGGTTTTGGATTTTAAGAGTACACAAAACAGTTCAAAGTGTAATCGCAAAATGCATTCGATGCAAAAGATATAATGAAAAAAAAAAATCGAAACAGTTCCAGCCCTACTGCCTGAAGATAGGGTCCGAGACGCTATGGTTTTTGTAATAACTGTAACTGGAGTAGACTTTTAAGTAACTGGAGTAGACTTATCTCGACCTCTTCATCTAAAGGATGGAAAGAAAAGCTGGATGCTTTTATTCACTTGTGCTATTTATAGGGACCTACATCTTGAACTGATACAAGGACTTTCCGCCGAAGATTTTTTGTTGGGCTTTAGAAGGTTCATAGCCAGACGTGGAAGACCAAAAACTATGTATAGTGACAATGGTACGAACTTTGTTGGGACGAACAACCTCTTTCCTTCACTCGATTGGAGTTCAATCCCCCCACAGCTGCGTGGTGGGGGTTGGTGGGAGCGTATTATTCAGATGCTTAAGAACATTTTGAGAAGAATATTAGGAAGAGCCTGCTTGAGATATGAGGAGCTGTGTACCATTCTCTGCGATACGGAAGCTGTAATCAACGCAAGAACGTTAAATTATTTGTCTGAAGATCCTGAAGATTTAATGCCTTTAACACCCTCTATGTTCATTCAGGATATAAGAACGGTGGGAGTTCCGGACTTAGACCATATAGATGAAGTCAATATCAATAAGAGATATAGATATCAGCAGAAATTACGACAAGATCTCAGAAAAAGATTTAGAGACGAATATTTGAGTCTCTTTATAATAATAATTTAGTCCAGAGATAATCAAGCTACTCGAAGACAAATATATTTAGGAGATGTGGTACTTGTGGGGAAGTGACAACAAAAAAAGATTGGACTGGCCATTGGGTCGAGTTTATTGAACTATTCCAGAGTCAAGATTATTGCGTTAGAGTCGCAAAGGTGAAAAAAGCTGCAGGTGAATTGATTCGTCCTGTGCAACGACTGTATCCTGTGGAAGTGATGGACGACGAGAACTTGTTTTTACCTAAGCAAAACCAATTTAACATTCCGGTTAGTAAAAAAATTAACTATAAACCTTCTGATAAGATAATTAAAACTAGATGTGGTAGAACTATTGTAAAACTTTCCCGTTTTAATTAGTTTTTTTCCCTTTTATGATTATACTAAGCATTGATTAGTCTCGTTATTAAGTAATATTGTATTTTGATTTATGTTCCGCCCACCATAAATCAAAAGGTGGGAGGAGATGTCGCGAGCACCTCAACGATTGTATAAATGCAATTTCTTAAAAGATTAAGTTTTTACGGTTTGGCAACATTGTATCTTTTTTTTAATGTTTAGAATAAATGAAGTAAAAATGCACCATGACTTTGCATTAAGGTGGATTGCCTGTTTTAAGTGAATTAATTGGGTGGATTTCCCGTATTACTTGAATATAAGTTTCTTTTAATGGAGTACCGACTGAATGAACAAAATTCAGGTAGAGTCTCGTAACAGGCTGTCTCCCAGGCTTAGCAAAGCACAGCGTTGGATTCCTCAGGTCCGCGGCACGCCATTTTGACCATTCGCGTCTTTTTAGGACTTTAATTAGCCGATATATTAATTAAACACTAATTTTCCCCTACGTTTTCCCTACATTCTCCGCTTTCTTTCTTGAGTTTCCCTATTAGAGGGATTTGGCTACGTGCCAAATTCTTTTTTCTCGAATATCTACGAAACGGCGTCAAGTTGAAATTCGAGACGCGTATCCTCGGATTCCAAAAAATTCTCCGAATCCATCGATACCGTTCTCATCTTCGACTTTAATCGGCCGAGATATTAATTAAAAACTGCAGAAATGTTAATTTCCGCGCTCATTTTTCCGAGTGGCAACAATAAACTATCGGCGACACACACTTTAGCCGCTTATATATATAAAGAAAATACATCGAATTCATCAAAAAGTTAAAAATAAATACTGAATACTCCCCCCAAAAAGGAAAAAAGAAATTGCTTGGAAATATTGTTTGCCTTTATACATAGTGATGCCTGTCGACAAAGAATCTATTAGTATGCACAATAATGACACGTTCTACGGATACTAATATCAAGCAGAAATTGTATTTAGCTTATAGTAATGCATTGGATAAATACGAGACAGTAGCTAAGGTTTGTTTCTTATATAAAGATTTCAAATGACAATTTCATGCAGCATGAATTTTTTTTCAACACATCTTTTGACACATCAGCGTATGATATGCTATTCTGGTAGATATTCATGCAAAATCTTCCTCAAAGAAAAACCCCTTTGTTTCGAGTGCGAAGTTTGGTGTGTTTCTATGAAGGGTATTTATACGATTTTGATATATATTCCAGAAAATCTTCAAAGATATTGATCTTGGACTACGTAGAGGTGTTGTAACAGATCTTTTAGTGTGGTGGAAGTTCCTTCAAATCAGTGCGTGTATTACGACAACATCTTTATATCACACATGCTGTTGTCGGAACTAAATGGCTGAAATTTCATGTGGCTGTAACAACTCTTGAGTACAGATTAGAAAACTGTCCTATTATAATTGTAAACAAAAGGGGAAAGAAGAACGTGGAATATATGACACCGCATTTGATATAGAGCATGGCTTTGTAGTAATTCGATGAAACGAGAATTCAGTCACATCTATGACAACTAACTTCAATACAATTAGTCCGCCTTAGCGCAAGTAAAAACAAGAAACGGTGGCGCCCTTTTTTTTTCGAATTTTATTAATATAGCTAACAAACGCAGGAAAACTTTATATGATTATAGACCCAAAAATTTCCCTATATTTTTATAGAAATATTACGGTGGCATTTCTCGAAGTAAAGGAAAAATATTCTGAACTTTCCTCTCCGTATACTCATTGCGTGTTTCTTTCAGCATTTAGCCTTAAGTGAAACGTGAAAGTATCCTACAAACCAAATTATCGAGGAAAATTAAACAAACAAAAGAAAAATATGCAAAATTGTGGTAGTCAAACGATAACTGCTTGGAATAAAGTATACGTGCCATTTTATAGCAAATGTTTCAAAGTTTCGATGGATCCCAAAAGTAATCGGTTTTGGCTGGCGTTGCTTTTACGCTATATTTCGTATCTTCCAAAAGAAAAATACAAATTATTCCTATTGCAATTTCTTCTGCTAACTATACTCTTCTACGTCATAATTTTTTTTTTTTTTTGTTAATTTTCTTCAAGGGAAAGTTAGTGCGATTCGTTAATGGGTTAAGGAAGCCCTGTGACAGCTGAACACACTAATGCAGCAAGGCAGACATTAACTCCATGATGGGTTTGCGGAGGCGGATGGCGAGATGAAATAGACGTCCCAAGAGCGTTCCAGAAATTTTCTACAAAGTTCAAGTCAGAGGATCTGAGATCTGGCTGGGCAATCCGTTCCATATACATATATTATATACATACACGAACACGAAAGTAATCTAGGATGCTTATGTGC